CACTGAAAGCAATCGGGGGTGGCAAAGTGGGCGTAGTGGATGGGTCAACAAATGACTGTGGTCTTCTATTCTCGTTGTTCTTACACATTTCCCCTTTCCTCTCTTGCTTTTTGCTGATTTTTTGATTTTTTGCTTTCTGCTCTTTTGGCCAGTTTCGTTGGCTGTTAATTTACATTGCAAAAATTTTCTTTTGACTTTATACGCAATTTGCAATTCAATAGTTTATAGATTTTGCTATTGTCAGTAGCTTCGGTGGGTGGTTACTATATGCTGTGCTGTGGAGAAAGATGTGGGATTTTCGAGGGTGGGGCTGAGTGGATATTATTGTGGGTGTCACACATGGCTGTAAGTAGGTAACTGGAGCTTATTCGATGTAAGGAAGGGATTTCGATTGGGTCATTTGATGTTAGAAAATTCACAAGTCGCATTGAAACGAATTGGGTGTACTCTTCACTGAACAAGATTTAGATTAAGGTAATTTTTTGTAAATAGCTTTTATTAATTAATTTGAGCGATGAAAAAATCCTGGGCGAATTCCACTTACAGCAAAATTTAACGGAAATGTGGTATTCAAAAAGTTATCAATCCAAAAGTTGTTTTGAAAAACCACCACAATTTATAGAAATTTAATTAAATACAATTAATATCAGTTAATATTCTTGTACTTATAATCTTGTTGTATTCTCTTTCAGATTCGAAATAACAACAGCTGTAAGTACCTACAATTATTGTCAATTTAAACATTTCATTTTTATTGCAAGTTTTCTGGTAAATCCAGCTTGTCAGAAGTCCCACAGACTCCCATCTCACACAAATCCCTTTCAAATCACTCAGTGACCAATAGTTTGGCATCTGCCCGATGCAAAACTTGTCTGCGGCCAAGTTCAGTTGGCAGTCGTCGTTCTGTTCCGATTGACCGACCCCTCATCCTTCCTTCAACGCCAACCATTTGATAAATCTAATCAGTTAAAATGCATCCAATTTCAGTCGGGCCAATGTAGGAGCCGACGAACATTGTTCGAAATTTTGGTGTTGGCTGTTCGATATGTTTAGAGCTCGATGGATGCCCGCAAACTATGCAAACCGGCTAAATGCGATTGGTTTTCGGGTATTGGCCAACAAATTCCTCTTCTCCCCGCTCTTCCGCCAAATTGATTCCAATGCAAATGCAAATTGATAATGAAATATGCGATGGAAAACGCATTAGAATGAATGGACCCATTGGCAGAGGAATTCTTATCGCTGTTATGCCAACACCCAATGTTTAACCTCAACAGTCCCCCCGCCCTGTGATTTTCGCCCTCTGATTCGGTCATTTAATGCAATGCGGCAAATAAACGAAATGTGGTTAACGCAATGACAGTGCGATTAGCCAAAAACCATTGTGGCGGAATCTGCTGGAGATTCCAGAGAAAAAGGAAAACGCGGGGACGTAATGCAGGGAAACGCGTCCTCAGTGGTTTTCAGTTGCTACTGCCACCTGCGGTTGCTTAAATCATAATCTACAGACGCACACATGTGTGTGAACCACTGGTCCAAAAGTCAAGTTTGTCTCTGTCAACCACAATTGGTCAACGTAGAATAGAGCCCGAAAATTCCATTTAAAATTTAATGCCAAAGATATTATCTGTATTTAATCAGAAGAGCTTACAACAGATTGAATCTGTTACAGATATCACACATAGAAATACCAAAACATATTTAAAATTCATTATTATCAAATCGAACGTCTACTCACAAATAGAAGAACTTTTCATCAATCGAATCAATATTCAACCGTTCGCAATTATTCGGATGAATTGACAATCTCATGATTTATTCAATTTTATTGAGAGAGAGAGCAGATGACAAAACATTTCCCCGTAATAAATCTCAATTCGGAAGTAAGTAAGAAATACTCGCACAATAAATAACAATAATTATGCAGGAAAATGTTTGAATAAAAACGAAATTTGTCCTCGTCCTTTTGTGGCCTCCTTTTCTTTCCGCTTTCCTCTCTACTCTCTCCACAGTTTTCCACTTTCAATGATCCATAATTGCTATTAATTGTTCTTGAGATTTGCATAGCAAATAAATCTAAGAAAGGAAAATGCAAAACATAAATTCAACAATTGCTTGACACTTGAGCAGAGTTTGAAAGTTTTCATTTGTCGTTATTCTTGTTGTAATTCTTGTTGCTGCTGTCGCTATTGTCGTGTTGTCTAATTTATTTAGCATTGTGTAAACTTGTTCAAGGTTGAATAGGCTTTTATGCCAAATGGAAATTAAATGGCAACAACAGCAGCATCAGCAACCTCAAAGAAAAACATTTGAATTACATCGAAGACAATTCGAAATGCCAAAAGGCAGCCAAAGTTTGCATCGATTGTTTGTGGGCCAAGCTCGAAATCAAATTGTGCCAAATTACTTGGCCGGCAAAATGCTTGGGCTAACCAATATTGCTTCTATCTCTGTCTCTCTCGGTCTCTATTTTCTGTCTCTCTCCGTGTGGCTGTCGGTGGTCCAAATGAATAATTTGGCATCGCAGATAAACGAAATCAATGTCCACGGACCGGGCCCAAAACCAAATGGCAACATCTGCACATTGCGCTGGTTTCGAAGGGGCCCTCCATCGATAGAGGGGTAAAATGGTTACAGTTGGGCAAGTGGAACTCTGTAACCTCTGGGCCACTCTGGGGAACTTGTTATTGAATTAAAGTGACTTGATTTACGGCGCGTTCTGGTCAAAAGCTCTTAATGGCATTGCCCACGACTCCACCACGTTCACTCTAACTCTCTAACCCGTTTTGTGTTGCTCCCTTATCCTTGCCCATGGCCCCAAACAGGGTCATCCGTTTTCCGAAATGAAGTGTGCGCTTTGTGATGTTATAACCGTCAACGCTGCGTATGGGTGATATTAAGTATGCGACATGTTGCGCTATGAAGTGGAGATGAATGAAATTGGTTTAGTGCCGTAATTTACGATGAAAGTGTGAACGTGTAAAATGCTTTAAGTCTAAAGAACTTAAATAATTATGGAAATACATGTCGGTTTTCAAGCCACATTTAATTTTTAAGTAAATGTTTTCATAAATTCATAATTAGATTTAAACCTAATCTAATTTCAGTTTTGAAAATAATTCTGTTTGTAAATTCCCTAAAATTTATTTCCCATAAAACTTTATAACAAAATATTCCAAATATTACCTTTCAAGATTTTAATTTTCCAACTACGAAACTATCCATCTCCCAATTATGATGTAAAACCAAGCTAAGCACTTAAAATCCCTTTGTTATCCCGAAAACAGTGACATTGTCGTCTAAATTTGTTGATGGAATAATGGCTAATTGAGACAAATTAAATCAAAAACTTGCCACCAAACGATGTCATCACTCATGCAGGTTGCCAACTTTTGTTGTGTGCCATTGTTTGCCCTGCCTCCTTTAGCCCTCTTGACTGTGCTTGTTGTGGCAGCTGATAACATGGTTATCGTGGTTGGGCTCATTGTTATTGCCATTATTGCGGGCGGGCGCTGCAGGCGGCACACGAACACGCGTAACTTAACTGAATTTAACTAAACTAAGGCGAACCTTAAATGACAACAGATAGCGCTAATAATTTATGCATGCTGCATGTTGCAAGTGGGGTGGCAACATCGGGCAGCCAACCCGGCAAACCCACCCACTTGCAGGCTTTATCTTGTAGTAGCCACGCCTCCTCAACCGCTGAGCACAGGCACCACCACCAGCACCGCATGTACACAGGCACCCGCACACGCTGACAAGGCTGCACATAATTTAATTAAAATGAAATCTCGCACGGGGCGCTGAACTGCAAACTGTGAATGCAAATTATTATTAATTACAGCAGAGCGACGACAAATGTTTATGCCCGCCATATGTGTGCCAGTTGCCCTGTCTCTGTCTTACTCGGCTGCCGTTTGCATTGTAGTGTTGCCCTCGTGAGCGAATCTTCTTAGACGGTTAACGATAGTTCATCACTATTCTCATTAAATTCTTTCACTTAAGCTCTTCTCTAAAACTTTATCTTATTAACGATACAATACAGAAACTGGTTATTACTGAGCAAATTGGCTGGGCATTGGCATTTCCAAGAAAATAATTTGCTCCACCATCGCTCTGCCGACACGAACAGTATACAATTAGTGTAATTACAACGATGATGTGTCGTCGAAAATTATGTACACAAATTAAAGATAACAATTAATTGTATTAAAGTTAAGGATTTAAGATATATTCAAACTCTTGGTTTTTCAATTAAACATCGTGTCACGCGCACATCTCTAGCTTGCATGCATGGCGAGACACAGCGGCGCCATCTGTTGACGGTTTGTCGCAAAAACAGCTATGGCTAAGTGCACGGGTGTTTATGTGCGGTAAATGAAATTAAGAGAAATCTAAACACATTTGCTAGTCATTTATCCTAATGCCAGCTACTTTGGATCTCCCAGGTTCTGGTTGCAGCGGTAATTTTTCCTCATTTCTCAAGCTTGCAAGCATTTGGCACACTTCTCTTTTTTACCACCGTTAAATGTCTAGTCAGATTGTGCCATTAAAAATTACCCAAATTGTTTATACAAATTTTATTTGTTGAATAGAATATAAAATGCAAATTTGATTGATGTTTCATATGAAAAAGATACGTACATTTTGCTCTCACACATCGGAGTAGCATTAATATGTAAGCAAATTTGCATTGTAAAATATATCAGCGTATTGATTGTAATTGATTCTGTGGACTACTGAGCCATGGGTTGTGGTTTTTTCATGAGTCAATTATGTGGGTTTTGATGGGCTTCTCTTTTCCAATTATATTTATTACGTAAACACACTGATACGTATTTGTACACTGGCTTCGTTATAACAGTCATTAATTTGGTCTCGGGACTCTCATGTTTTTGGTGGAATGAAACTTGAAACTAACATTTGATTAAAGGATTCAAGGATTTTATGTTTAACATCATTATTTTTAATGGGACATTCTGTACAAAAAATTAAATTTAAGAACAGTAGCAATAGATTTCGATGGGCTCTTCGCGGGCACAAAATGACTGATGTCTGTATTGATCAGTTCGTGTGATGGCCCCCTGAAGTGAACTGTCATTTTTGGCGAGAACGGTGGCATCAAAGTGGCCATTTCCTGGTTTAGTCACCATACGAACAGTGATGGCTTCGCTGACATTTTGCTGTTTCCTCAGATAGGCGTCCTCCACTATTAGAAGTTCCAGCTGATGACACTGTTTATAGGGTAGCAGTAGTTTATTAAGGCTCTCGACGGCAAACTGGGCGATCCTCCGGATTCTTCGCACATTCCAGGGTATCTTGATGAATCCATCGCACTCGCAGTAGTGCAGCGGAATGCGGGAGGAGAAACAGCTTCGCTCCTCAGGAATGGGCAGAAATAGGGAGACATTGTAATCATTTCGTAGTCTCTCGGTTCTGTTTTGAATACTCTCGTCGCTGAGGTTTTCCAGATCAACCACATCCTTCAGAGTTTCATGCAGATCGTACGCGGTAACCAATCGACGAGCGTTGGCTCTAAGATTCTTTACAGCCAGTGGAAATCTTTCTTCCAGCCAACGCGGATATATGGCCACCATTGTTGGCAGCGAACTCTCCCTCATGCCCTGAAATGTTCTCGCAAACGAACCATATCGCAGGCCATGGTCGGATAGAAGCACCACCAAGGTTCTATCAAGGATCTTTCGACTTCTTAAGGCGCGCAGAATAAAGTAATATTGCAAATCCGTCTGTTCGCCATACTGAAAATAATCGTGAACTCCCATCGATTGCCAAAAAAAGGCAAAGAAACCGCGATCCCAACATCTTGCCTGCAAGTGAGGGAACAAACGGTAGATGAAGTCGTACAGAACATGATGGTATACCCGATCGCCAGAGCAGGTTATCTCGCTGGGACCTCTGGCTGAATATTTGGTCCACGTGTGGATCTCGTTCATAACGTTTCGCAAGTAGAAATCTGTGGGTTTACGCCCAAAGCCGGGCCTTGCATAATTGAAGGTGGCCCCTATGCGGGAATCCTCGCCCAAAATGGTGGCATAACCAGCTGCCTTAAAATCGTTCCACAGCAGGCGACACTTGTCGAAGTTTGTCTGGTTGTTTGCCCCAAAGCAACCTCTTCGCGATTCCACCTCCTCGACACTCTGACCACTTAAAAGGGGCACCACATTGGGATAAGAGTTTTGCCCAACGCGATTGTAGCCAAACATCTCTGCGTGAGGCAGGCGATCCACAAAGTCCATTACTCGACTATAACGTTAAGAAAAAGTGGCTTATTGGTTAATAAAATATATTTAGATGTATGTTTTATATGGTAAAATGTAAAAGTATTAAAACCTGAACTCATAACCTGTTTGAGATTATTTGAAATGATAATTTACTGTTACTTGTAAAAATAAAATGCGGCACACAAAGCTGACATCCTTTTGTTTTTCAATTATTTGCGGTAGATTGAGCCCCTTGCTCTTTATTGACATTGTGTGTATTTCCAATCGATGTTTATATACGTTTTAATTGGATAAATTGTGAAGGTAACGATACAAATGTTATTTTCTTGTAATCCTTGTAAATAAAAATTTAAATAATTATTTATTTTGCAGAAATAACGATTTAAATTGTAACTTTCAGAATCTATTATGTTTACCCATAATTCTAAGAAAGTACTTACGTGAAATAACGGCGGTAGTGCATGTGCGATATAGAATCGATACCCAGGATCATAACGGAAAGTCGCTTTACGGGCTCTTCCGAACTAGGAGTCTTTCCCATTTGATCCTCCTTCAATGGCAGGAATATCAGAACATCGTGATAAACGAGACGGCCAAAGTCCATCCAGCACCAAACACGCAGGGTTATATTACCCGACTTCACTTCGGTGGCATTACTGAGCCTGCTAAAGCGAAAGACTTTCGATTCCTTGTACTTGTTGAGAAAGTCGGTTAGGCGCACAAAGCGATTGTATGCGCAGGTGATTTCACTTAACCTCCGAACTCCGAGCTTCTGCCAAAGTTGTTTCGCACTGGCGGCCAATTTCAGGTAATTCCTACCTCCAATCGTTGTGGCCTCCAGCAGCTTGATCATGTAGCACCAATATATGGGCATCGGTGTCATATGATGGACCGCAATGGGCGACAGGGGATCCATGGCAATCATCTGGCACTGCGAAGTGTTCACAAACAGCCTCCTTCCATCGGGTTTTCCTTCCAAGGGCGGCTGAACGCCTTCCACTTGGTTCTCAAATGGCCCTCGGTAAAATAGTAAGACGTAGAAAATCAAGCACAACAGAATGAAATTGAAACTATTCTTCTTCATCTCAACTACAAATTGGCTATATCCCATTGTAGAATTTTATTTTCTGACTTGTTTGTGAAGGAAAGAGGTGAATACTTTTTTGAGGAAAGTCAAATTTTAGTTCGGGCGTCTAGATCTAGATTTTTTAGATTTTCTGTGTAAAAAATAAAAAGTTGTTGGAATGCTTATGGGTTTTTCATAAAGTTTTCTATTTTAATTATTTTACAGGAAATCCTTTAAAGGTATAGACATTTTTCCTCTCTTTCACTACATTTTGTTCTTTGTCAATTAGCATAGTTTACACTTTCAGTTATTTTGGCCTTCTCCTCTTTATTTGTGTTTGCCAAAGGAAAGAATAAAATCCAAACTAAGGGACAGTGAAAGGGCCAAAACAAAGACTAAATTATGACACCCTCGAGAACTGTTCAGTGATTGAGTTTGTTATCGGGCTTTTTAATTAGGCAAACTTGATTGGATTTTGCTCTGGCAGTTCGCTCAGTCTAGTTTCTCTGTTTCTCTTATTTCCAACCAATTTGTAAGATAAGACTAACTAGTTGCTCGCCACTTGGAAATACAAACCTATTCACTAGAAACAAGTGAATTTAGAAAACCAAGTTAATAGAAAATACCTACACAAGTTTATTTTGATAAGCCAAACCAAAGTGTTTGGATTAAACGCTGAAGTTTAAGTCCAACTGGAGATGTTGGAATGAGGTGCCTTCCTTCAAGCGAGCGGAGTAACCGGATCTATTTCACAGTCAGAGACAAAATGGGAATTGTGTTTCTCATTCAATTTTCATTTTCATTCTCGTTTTCTTTTTCCCCTTTGTTTCTCCAGTGCCGGAATGCCTTTCCGTATGCGAATTTCGCGATGTTGTTTTCTTTAATTTTCCGCAAACGGAGGCAGCAAAGCGTCGGCTTCCTGCCTTCCTGTGATCCTTTTTCTTCCCTTCCTTGGTCATGTCTCGTTTGCAGCATCCTGTGTATCCTGTGTAAAACATATGCATACATTTTATACCATTACAGCATAACAATATTGCATTTGCAGAAACATTTCTCTCGCTGGCCCACAACCGGGCTACCCTTTCCTTATTTTACGGATACCTCTTCGTCCTTTTCCCCAACGCCGCCAACTGTCTTGCGTTATGTGAATCCAGCGCGAATCCTGTGAATCCCAACGACCTCCTGCCGCCATCCTTTGCGCGCACCCACGTTAGCTTTGAGTTACGATTTTCCTGTGCTACCCTGGAAATGTTGATGGGGTATAGTTATGCAAGAAATTACAATTTAGAGATTTTACAAATCAAGTATTAATTCTAGAGGATCAAAAATTGAAAATATTTTATTTTGAAATTTGATTGGTCACCTAAAAATTTCCATATAAATGGTATTGTACCAAACATAATGTAATATGATTTTCAGTTGGTATACTTTTATTCTCAAACATTAAAACTTTTCATTACAAGAAATCGTTCGAATAAAATACTATCCAAATCTTGTATTCCTGGAAATTAAAAAGGAAAAGTTCTAACTTTTGTAGAAATTTTATCAAATAAATAATTATTTTTATACCGAAAGGGATTTCTACAGGATATCCTTCGACTCGCACAGCCCCTATAAAAACTTCTGGCTCGCCTTGATTGTTGTTGTTTTATTTCGTTGAATTTCAGTTTCAGTTTTTGGTTTTGGCTAAAGGTTTTACCTGCGCTCACCGCTCACCCACACCCAAACCCGAACCCACCAGCATCTCTCAACTCTTCGACTTGGAGTCCTCCCACCCGATGTGCATAAAGTTAGCAATGCAACTTTTGAAAATGCAAATTTTTTTCTATCGACAATTTGCCGTTATTTATCCGTAAATTATTCGTGAAAGAAAAAAATTTGCCGCTCAATTATTTTTAAAATTATGAGATGTTCTGCTAAGTTGATATCAACTTAGCAGAACACCCCACTAAAGTTCAAAATTTCCAAAATCTTTTCTAATGGGAATTTGCCGTTATTTATCCGTAAATGATTCGCGAAAGAAAAAATTTTGTTGCTCTTGTTTTAACATTTTTTTTTAAAAACATAGTTGTTCTGCTAAGTTGATATCAACTTAGCAGAACACCCCACTAAAGTTCAAAATTTCCAAAATCTTTTCTAATGGGAATTTGCCGTTATTTATCCGTAAACGATTCGCGAAAGAAAAAATTTTGTTGCTCTTGTTTTAACATTTTTTTTTTAAAAACATAGTTGTTCTGCTAAGTTGATATCAACTTAGCAGAACACCCCACTAAAGTTCAAAATTTCCAAAATCTTTTCTAATGGGAATTTGCCGTTATTTATCCGTAAATGATTCGCGAAAGAAAAAATTTTGTTGCTCTTGTTTTAACATTTTTTTTTAAAAACATAGTTGTTCTGCTAAGTTGATATCAACTTAGCAGAACACCCCCACTAAAGTTCAAAATTTCCAAAATCTTTTCTAATGGGAATTTGCCGTTATTTATCCGTAAACGATTCGCGAAAGAAAAAATTTTGTTGCTCCTGTTTTAACATTTTTTTTAAAAAAACATAGTTGTTCTGCTAAGTTGATATCAACTTAGCAGAACACCCCACTAAAGTTCAAAATTTCCAAAATCTTTTCTAATGGGAATTTGCCGTTATTTATCCGTAAACGATTCGCGAAAGAAAAAATTTTGTTGCTCCTGTTTTAACATTTTTTTTTAAAAAAACATAGTTGTTCTGCTAAGTTGATATCAACTTAGCAGAACACCACAACTAAAGTTCAAAATTTCCAAAATCTTTTCTAATGGGAATTTGCCGTTATTTATCCGTAAATGATTTGCGAAAGAAAAAATTTAGTTGCTCTTGTTTTAACCTTTTTTTAATAATAGTTGTTCTGCTAACATATGTATGTACAACGCGGACGGTAGCAGAGCTCTGCTGACGTCGACGTCAAATGTGTAAAATTACCGCGAATTCTGCGTCCTGGAGGTTTATTAATTTCTGCAGTGAGTCTGAGTCATTATTATTTACAGAATTACACATAATCAAAAGTTAATAATGTTAAAGCATGAAAAATGGATGTTGCTTCTCACAGAAGCAGAATTCGCGGAAATTTTACACATTTGACGTCGACGTCAGCAGAGCTCTGCTACCGTCCGCGTTGTACATACATATGTTAGCAGAACAACTATTATTAAAAAAAGGTTAAAACAAGAGCAACTAAATTTTTTCTTTCGCAAATCATTTACGGATAAATAAAGGCAAATTCCCATTAGAAAAGATTTTGGAAATTTTGAACTTTAGTGGGGTGTTCTGCTAAGTTGATATCAACTTAGCAGAACAACTATGTTTTTTAAAAAAAAATGTTAAAACAAGAGCAACAAAATTTTTTCTTTCGCGAATCGTTTACGGATAAATAACGGCAAATTCCCATTAGAAAAGATTTTGGAAATTTTGAACTTTAGTGGGGTGTTCTGCTAAGTTGATATCAACTTAGCAGAACAACTATGTTTTTTAAAAAAAAATGTTAAAACAAGAGCAACAAAATTTTTTCTTTCGCGAATCATTTACGGATAAATAACGGCAAATTCCCATTAGAAAAGATTTTGGAAATTTTGAACTTTAGTGGGGTGTTCTGCTAAGTTGATATCAACTTAGCAGAACAACTATGTTTTTTAAAAAAAAAATGTTAAAACAGGAGCAACAAAATTTTTTCTTTCGCGAATCGTTTACGGATAAATAACGGCAAATTCCCATTAGAAAAGATTTTGGAAATTTTGAACTTTAGTGGGGTGTTCTGCTAAGTTGATATCAACTTAGCAGAACAACTATGTTTTTTAAAAAAAAAAAATGTTAAAACAAGAGCAACAAAATTTTTTCTTTCGCGAATCATTTACGGATAAATAACGGCAAATTCCCATTAGAAAAGATTTTGGAAATTTTGAACTTTAGTGGGGGTGTTCTGCTAAGTTGATATCAACTTAGCAGAACAACTATGTTTTTTAAAAAAAAAATGTTAAAACAAGAGCAACAAAATTTTTTCTTTCGCGAATCGTTTACGGATAAATAACGGCAAATTCCCATTAGAAAAGATTTTGGAAATTTTGAACTTTAGTGGGGGTGTTCTGCTAAGTTGATATCAACTTAGCAGAACAACTATGTTTTTAAAAAAAAAATGTTAAAACAAGAGCAACAAAATTTTTTCTTTCGCGAATCATTTACGGATAAATAACGGCAAATTCCCATTAGAAAAGATTTTGGAAATTTTGAACTTTAGTGGGGGTGTTCTGCTAAGTTGATATCAACTTAGCAGAACATCTCATAATTTTAAAAATAATTGAGCGGCAAATTTTTTTCTTTCACGAATAATTTACGGATAAATAACGGCAAATTGTCGATAGAAAAAAATTTGCATTTTCAAAAGTTGCATTGCTAACTTTATGCACATTCCCACCCGCTGCCTGCTCCAATTACTGTTTGCATAGTTGAGTGTCGTCTGCGGAAATTTGTTTATTTTACGCGCATTGCGTTTCGCCTCGCCTCGGTTAAGTTTGGTACGGTTTGGCTGGGCTGGATAACCCACCATCCTCTCCCGCCTTCCGCCTTCTTTCAGGATCCTTTGGCTTCTCCTTTTTAGCCCGGAATCGGAGGAGCTGCGGCACAATGAGACATGACGACGGCGTATCCTACGACCGACTCGCTAAGACAAACTGACAGCTAAATGCGTCAGACTCGTTGCAGATTTCATTTGGCGTGAATTCTCCTTTACATTTCCCCATCTCCCCTATATTATTTTCCTTTTTTTTATGGTTTTTCTCCCTTTTTTGCCAATGTATTTTGCATTTTTGTAGCTTTCGTTGACATTTTCCTCGGCTGCGAAACCTTGTGCATTGAGCAGGTTTATAGCTTCCCCTTCTGCCGCTGCCGCTTCTGCTGCCAAACGGTGCAAGTTACAGTCGCAGTTACAGTCAGAGTTGAATACGACAAAAAAGAGGTAGCATCAAGAAATGTCTGACACAGCCGTGACTACCGAAAAAGGCAACAAAAAACGAAACAAAAACGAA